ATTATTAGATGCTTGATTGGCATTTTAGAAGATGCTGTTTGATGAACATAAAGATTTTTCTGGGTTACATCTTCTTTTATCTTTATCTAGTATCCTGCACCTGTATCTAGTGTCCTCCACCTGTATCTTGTGTTCTTCACCTTTATCTAGTGTCCTGCACCTCTATCTAGTGTCCTCCACCTGTATCTAGTGTCCTCCACCTGTATCTTGTGTCCTCCACCTGTATCTAGTGTCCTGCACCTGTGTCTAGTGTCTTCCACCTGTATCTAGTGTCCTCCACCTGTATCTAGTGTCCTGCACCTGTATCTAGTGTCCTGCACCTGTGTCTGTGTCTAGTGTAATAATGCATCATGTCCTCCTTGATATGGTGTAATGCAGCTTACTAGTTTTCATTTTTCTAAATCTTAAGTCCAGGCCACATTTAAGTATGGGGCAGCCACAAAGCACTTCGGTGTGGTTTGCTAAACATGTCACATGCCACTTCTATGCTGTGTTTTACTTCCATCCACTTGTGAGTCATTCAAAAACAGGGTGACTGTACCAGTGCATATTTATTTCATTGTAATCATTTATAGCTTTGAGTAATCCTTTGCATGCAACAGGTTTCTTTTAAGTTTTTTAGTTGAATAAAGCGGAATTACGCCAGTGTTTCTTGCTTGGTAAATCCTTTGATATCAGTAAGATTTTAATAAAAACTGCTTAAGATGCAATTATATTTGATGTGATGGAAGTCCTGACTAGTGACCTTTTCCCTCCAAATTACTTACTTATTAAAGGTACATTTTTAAACTTATCCTGTCCACGTTATGCACTTCTCTTGTTCTTTTGACGGAGGAGTTGAAACGACCTTGAACAAGTTTTCAGCCTCTTTCAGAACTGCTCACCCAAACACACCCTTGCTCCTGAGTCATTCTCTATCTTGTCTCACTTAGGTGCTTCACTGGAGGCTTGGCTTGGTAATTTAAGAACCTCAGAAGAGGATCGAGCATCTATTATTGGAAAGGGATATGTGATACTGTGGAAATGCACAGTTTCAACGTGACTTTTTTCATCATTTGATCATTTGAATGCACATTACCTGGCTTGCGAGCATCTTGCTGATGACCTGTTTGCCATTTGTCGGAAGGCAGGTTCTAGGAAAATCAACAGTAATTGATAGACACTACAAACACAAATAAGGAGAATTTGGTCCTTCTGTTAGCAAGAAATCTAAACTGTTGACTGAGAAGTCTCAAAGTTTGTCTAGATCTCTAATCCCAGTAGAGAATGATTTCTTTCAAATCCTGTAGATTGTCATCTCAGTGAGAACCAACATCATTTGTTCTCACCCTCCAATGTCTTAATCGGCAGACCTTTGTACTAGCATCTAAGTCAAAAGTTATTGGGGTGTCACGCTTAATGGTTCGCTGATTTACCGTCTTGAATGTTCTACCTCTCTTGCTTCTTTGACCCCCTCCTGTGATATTCACTTATCCTATCTCACATGATTGATTCCCAACTGACCAGCCAAACTACATAGATATGGGAGGTTTCCAGCTCCCAGACAAGAGAATTACAACAGTTGACAGCCACAGGATCAGCCTGGACAGGTTGCAGGTTGTGCATGAGCTTTCTATGATTTGATTACACTATGGTTTGTCCCATATCAGTCCTTGGAGCAAGGGTGTGTTTGGGCAGGCTGTTAAGAGAGGCTGAAAACTTTGTTCCAGGTCGTTTCCACTCCACAGTCAAAGAACAAGAGATAGTGCACAATGTGTGGAGGACACTAGATACAGGTGGAAGACACTAGACACAGGTGCTGGTGTTTTTTGTAATTTTGAATCAAGTGCCTTGTTTGCAGGGCTCCCACAGGTCAGGGAAAAGTCAGGGAAATTTGTACTTTACTAAGAAAGTGTAATTTTGATATGATTACACAATGCCATTTAGAAAGTGGTCAAATGTAACATATGTTATCTTTGGGATTACAATTTCTTAGTAAAGTACAAATTCTAGTACTTTTTTGAGTTGAGCCCCATCCGGGAATCGAACTCACACCCTCAGAGTCAGGCACCTAATCGCCAGCACACAAAGTCAGCCGCCTAACCTGCTCAGCTACCGCGTAGCTTTCGGCCGTGGGAGCCGTGCCAATTAACTAACACCTATCAGAGGGGTACACAAAGCCCGCAGTCTAGACTACCAGTTGTCCGACTTCCATTTTTGTGGAAGTCGCAGTAGCTGGCGGGTTAGGCAGCTGACTTTGTGTGCTAGTGATTAGGTGCCTGACTCTGAGGGTGTGAGTTCGAATCACTCAAAAATGGGGCTCAACTCAAAAAGTACTAGAATTTGTACTTTACTAAGAAAGTGTAATCCCAAATATAATATATGTTAAATTTAGTCAGGGAATAGTCTGGGAATTTCAGGTTTAAGTCCGGGAAATTTAGGGTTTTGGTCAGGGAAAAATAAGACTCAGAATGTCGCTAATCAGGTATGGCAGTAGTCAAAGTCAAAGATGCTTATTGTACTTAAGGGTTCCGGCCCATATACAGGCAATACAAGTATACAAACAGCACATGTTACAGACATTTCATGAAATAAATTACAGTTCAGATAAGAAATTGCTTCTAAGCATATCAGCATGTTTTACATAAAGCCCTAGATTACATACTACATTTTCATTTTTGGAGGATAGAATGGAAACGAAGTCACTTGAAGGATATTTTTACAGATAATTATTTGGCATGTATTGTTTTCTTAAATCAGCATAATGTGAATTTCATCTTCTACAGCTGGGTTACATAACAGACATATTCTTCTATGACGCACAGTCAGTTGGATATGTGAATCAAACAATATGAAACATATTTTCCGGGTTAAAATTCCAAAATTCTGGGAAACTGACATAATTTAATAAGAGCCTTCTTAGCATGTGATTTCAGATTTATAACACTCTTTTTTATCCCCCGGCATGTAATGCGGGGGGATATAGTCGACGCCTTGTTTGTCTGTCCGTCCATCCATCCGTAATGTTGTTTCCGGAGCATAACTCGAAAATGGTTCAATATTTTTTAACAAAACTTTGCAGATTTGCTGTTAACAGATTTTTGTCATATCTATTTTTCTTGGTTTCCATGGAAATGTTTTGGACTTTGTCTAAAAACATGAAGTTCAACTTTAAGTAACTGTCAGATGATTTGCTCTTTCATATTTGTATGGGCCGGGGGGATTTGTCATCTTCTGATGACTCTTGTTTAGTATGGGAAAACACTAGTCCAAGATAGCCTGGGCATAGTAATTAACAATAGATAATTGTTTACCATTAAAAAAATATTTTTCGTTATAGGCAACAGATCCACCTCTTCTAAAGATAACTATGTTAACAGATAATTTTCCATTCATTTGTATACTGTTCAAAAATATCATAAATAGTATGATGGCTATGGTGGTTCTTGCAGATTGTCAAAGCCCATTTTGGCCAAAAATACCCATATAAGTTTCATTGTTAAAGTACAGCATAGGTTTATAATATGGCGTATGTTCTGACATTTGCTGTTTATTCACAAAATTGAAAGTTGTTGAATGGTGTTCATAATCTAGTTGTCATGGTCGTACTGAATGTAAAGTTATATCTTGCATATATATTCTTTCCAAATACGCCTTTGATAATTACAACATTTTGTGATAATGAAGAAATGTGTTCCTGACTTTGAATGAAACAATTCAATTAAATCATTAGTTTCACATTTATGCTCTTTGTCAAAAGCCTTTAACATATAATACAAAGTTTTCAGATGATATATTACTGACTTCAGCTGAGAATATATATTTGATGGTCACGCTCAAATGTATCTCATAGTATTATGTGACATTGTGGCAGGAGAGTCAAGGAAAAGTTTCTTCATCACAAATATCAATGTTTTGGTTAATGTAATAAATTTACAAATATTGTGTGTATTTATGATATGTGTAAAGGAAATATCTTAACACGGTGGTTAGGACTGACTGAAAGGGAGGAAGGAGGCCAGTTTTTACACTTAAACGGGCAGGGAAAAATCTATACTTGTCAGGGAAAAGTCAGGGAATTTTGGTCTGCCTGTGGGAACCCTGGCTTGGTACTAGAATAGATATTCCGGCAGCAAGTCTGATAAGTGGTGGAATAACAGTAGTGTGTATAGGCTGACATGTCATGTGGTTGAGTACTATATTATGTGATTTCATAAAGGTAAGCAATGTCATTTTGCTTGAACATATTCTCTCATGTATATTGATGACAGGGAGATATAAGGACTTAACTGATTATTGTTTATGTAAGTATCCACGTGAAGCTTCACAGGTCATAAACACAATATCAGGGGTGGAAATAACTTTAAAATTGCTAGCGTACTCCAGAACAGTGGAACATGTAAAGTCACGTGCCCTGATAATCTTTCCACTATAATGACCGTTTTCTTGCTGATATTTTAAATAAACAACATAATTAACATTGGAAAGTCAACTGGACACCGGTACAGTGTGATATACAAATTTGCTAGCCCGACAGAAAAAAACACTAGACTCGGACGTCGGGCAATGGGTTATTTCCACTCCTGAATATATTCAGTAACTTAAGGGCATCAATAAAGGAATTAAGAATTAGGTCTGTGAGTTTGGGAAATAATTTCCACTCAAAAGGTACTTTGTGTCCACAGTTAGTGAATAATCACAACATGTGGTATATCACTCACTCACAGACAGATGGTAAGGTAAGACTTCATTTGGTCAAGTTATCAGTTTCCAAGACTCTTGTTTCTGGTGGGAAAGTGTTAAGGCTTCCAGGATATGGATGTGCTATTGGAGAGTTGACATGGAAACCAAACTGCTTTCTTCATATTTCCATGTTTCTGGATGTGGACTAACTACAGGAGAAACAATGTTTATATGATATATCACTGGATCTGATTTTTTTCAAATGTTAACTGTCAAACTGAAATCAGCCAATGGAGGAGGAGGTAACATTCTCTTTTTGTTGTTTGTTTCAGAGGGGGTTAAGTGAAGACGTATATGAGAAGTACTCCCACACCAAGAAGAGGTGCACAGAGGGCAGTGTAGAGGATATTCCAGCATCCATCAAGGTCATCCTCAGGTTCAAGAGATATGTCTATGATCCCCTGAAAGTTATGAAACAATGACAGTGAAAGATGAAATTCTCTTCGGTGATATTATTCATTTGAACGTAGTAACAATATCTGACTTGTAAATCAGGCCACTGTATAACAAAAGGAAATTCAAAGACTCTTGCCTTCTGTACATTGTTGAACAGTGTATTATTTACTTGGTGTGATGGATCACAAATGAAAGTGAAGCAGATTTTCTATGTTGTTATAGCACTATTCAACTGTCAGAAATCAGACTGTCTATTTGATTGACAAATATGATTACTCAGTAATGTTGACCAAAAGATTATTTGTTTTCTGGTTAACAGCAATCTGGAAACGAGAAGCTACTTGTATACACTTGAGTATAAATCAACCACCAAACACGTTTTTGTAAGCAAGCAAACCGAAAACCAAATTGTGTGTATCGAAAAGTTAACTGTAACATATTTTACACTGATTGAAACAAAATAAAACCAGAATATCAACAATGCTGGAATGTGTGGTCTGATTGTCACCCAGTTCTCTAATAATGATTGTTGTAATTGTATCAACCACCACTGGTAACCGCCTGCTGTAGCCACCTGTCACATAGGTCTGCTAATCTCCACCTCCAAATGGCAATCAACGATCAAATTTTCAGCATCGGAATCCTTTGCAATTCCTAGTAGAGTGTTCAGCAATTCCTGAAAATTTGAATAAGGAGGATCTCTAAGCACAAACTCTGAGTTAGTGTCAAAGATGTTCAATGGGATTCATATTGGGACTTAGTGCGGACAATGATAATGTTTCGATGACATTGTTCTGCAGATGGACAGTGATGAATAAATAGGGGACAACTGGCAAGAGGATGATTATCAAAATGTGGCACAACAGCGGTACCGAGTTGACCTTCACATATACCTGTACTGTGATGAGGTACACAACTGAGCCCCACACCATCACTGAGCCACCACCATTGATCATGTCCTGGTGATATGCCTCGTTACAACGTCTCCATACACGATGAAAGCGTTGGTAACAGGTGGAAGATAACAACCTTCATGAACCTGTGACTCATGTCCTGAGGGGCCAGTAAGCTGGGGGTACACACCATGCCAGATGATCCTGGGGGTACACACCATGCCAGATGATCCTGGGGGTACACACCATGCCAGATGATCCTGGGGGTACACACCATGCCAGATGATTCTGTGACTCATGTCCTGAGGGGCCAGTAAGCTGGGGGTACACACCATGCCAGATGATCCTGGGGGTACACACCATGCCAGATGATCCTGGGGGTACACACCATGCCAGATGATCCTGGGGGTACACACCATGCCAGATGATCCTGGGGGTACACACCATGCCAGATGATCCTGTGACTCATGTCCTGAGGGGCCAGTAACCTGGGGGTACACACCATGCCAGATGATTCTGTGACTCATGTCCTGAGGGGCCAGTAACCTGGGGGTACACACCATGCCAGATGATTCTGTGACTCATGTCCTGAGGGGCCAGTAACCTGGGGGTACACACCATGCCAGATGATCCTGGGGGTACACACCATGCCAGATGATCCTGGGGGTACACACCATGCCAGATGATCCTGGGGGTACACACCATGCCAGATGATTCTGTGACTCATGTCCTGAGGGGCCAGTAACCTGGGGGTACACACCATGCCAGATGATTCTGCCTGTCCTGATGGTACTGATGGAAGGTCGGACTCCCGCTTTCCACTGATGGTGCAGTTCTTCGACATGGGTTGGGGGATTGCATCATGATGGACGAATTAAGACTCAGTCATCACAGTCATTGGTCTTCCTTGGTGTCCCTAATCTTGACGATCCTTTACCGCACAGATGGCCACGTGCTTCCTTACATGTCGACTAGTAATTAACCTAGTGTAGTTAATGTTCAAGCTGGCACTGATGATGCAATAACTTGCCATCATGAAGTTTCTGAAAGTCTGCAATGTTTTACCTTGTCAAGTAAAGTGAATGTTTGAATGCTGTCTTTTAGATCAGTTCAGGAAACTGTAGTTTACCTGAATTATGAAACTTGTACCTCGATGTGTTTGGTGTCTTTGTAGCACCTGAATGTTCAACTCATAGATTGTGAGATTTTGTCTGAAGCACATGATTTGTAGGTGTATTTCAGTACGCTAACGTAGGATTGCCTGTTTGAACCATAACTGAAACAATTATTCTTGGATTCAGGTGGTGTTTAAGTAATGCTCATGTGTATACTTACCTTGCCACTAAAAATACACAAGAATTTTATTGCTGTTAATTTCACTTTTGCCACAGTATATTTGTCCTGTTTTGTTCAAAATTGTAGACACGTTATATATCAATGATGTATTTCCTCTTAACTTTAGTGGTAGTTCCGTTCATGAATGATTATTCTGTTACATGTTTGTTAATTAAGCCATGACAATAAAAGTAGTGTTTGTTATTATTTGTTTGATAATATGTCAAGAGAAATAGACCTTCCTTATAAACAATGGACTTGATCACCTCTAATTTATCATCTAGCCTCACACTGTAATAATTGAAAGTGATCACATGATTGCGACAGTATCAAGTTGACTGTAAACAAAGTCTGTAGCTAATATGTGAGGAAGCCAATGAATGGACAACACATTTTTGTAGAAATAACAACTGAACAACAAAACAGCAATATTTGAGGATGTTGTGGCATACATGAATGTTTTGAATATAAAGCCTCTATTTTGAAATCTGTCTTTTTGCTGTCATCACACAAAAAGAATCTGCAAACTTTTTTTTTATATCACTTTATTTTCATACACGTTCAACAGATTGGCATATTTGTAGTATATAAAGAAAGTCAAATTACAGTCATTATCGATGTAAATAGATTGTGGCAAGACGACCAAAATGAGTCAAAAGTGTCTTATTTGCAGTGAGAGTAGACATTAAATTTATACAATTGGTAATTGTAATTTAATTTTGATTTCAGACCAGTGAGAGAAGTACAATGTTTGCTACTTTTCTAGAATATATGTATTCTTTAGTTGTTTTAACCCCATACAGTTCTACGAATTCTTTATAGGAAAGAAATATTATTAGATGCTTGATTGGCATTTTAGAAGATGCTGTTTGATGAACATAAAGATTTTTCTGGGTTACATCTTCTTTTTATATAGGGTTACCCTCCGTGTCCGTCCGTACGTCTGTACTGAACAGGGAATGGGAATGTACTCTATCCACATCTCCTCTGTGGAATTCAATGAACTTATACATGGGCTTTCTTGGGACTCTAATGGTGTGCATCTCATATTTTTTTTGTATTTTATTGTTTTTTTGTAAGTTTAGAGACATTTGAACTTAGGTACATTTTGCTGAATTTCTCTATGATGATAGTGTAATAGGGGATGAAGTCTATCCACTTCTCCACAAAAGCTGCTCAACAGAATTGATTAAGCTTCTACGTGTGTTTCATTGGAACTCTAAAGGTGTGCATCTCATACCTTGTTCATCCAATTTCTTAATTTTGTCACTTCTACAGATGTTTGAACGTAGTTGAATTTGGTTCTATTCATCCTGTTCGTCCCATACAACAGGGGGTGTACTTTATATCCACTTCTCCTCAAAAACCACTGCACAAAACTCATTTAGCTTACATGTCTTTTATAGAGACTCTAAAGGTGTGCGTCTCATATTTTATTTTTTGTATTTTGTATGTTTAGAGACATTTGAACTTAGATAAATTTTGCTGAATTTCTCTATGATGATAGTGAAATAGGGGATTAAGTCTATCCACTTCTCCACAAAAACTGCTCAACAGAATTGATTAAGCTTATACATGTGTTTCATTTGGACTCAAAAGGTGTGCATCTCATAGTTGCATAGAAGATATGTTGATCAATCTTTGTTTTATGCCTAAAAAACTCTCAGTTGCTCATTTATTTAACAAACAAGCCCATCTCAACTCCATGGAAATAAAATTATGGACTTAAACAGATAAACAGAGTGAGGTATGCAATAATATCATGTCATGGAACAGTTAACTTTTAACCTGCCATATTGAATATGTTCCAGAATATGCCAAAACTGACCACTTTAGCTACTACAGCAATCTATTGCTTTCACTTGCCTCCACAGTGATATTGCTATTGCTAGTTTATTTACCCTTGTACCATGAACCTTCATGATATAGGTTTAATTGTACTGTGGTAAGTTCATTGTGACATATAATATCTTCTCGACTACCAAATAGCGGCTCTCTTTTTACAGCAGAAGCAAACGCCATACTAACAGCCTTAAAATATATTAAAAAACACCCCAAATACAAACAATGTATAATCTTTTCAGACTCTCTTTCGTGCCTTCAGGCTATTAAAAATCTTTCTTGCAAACATCCACCTTTAATAGAAATTATTGAATTGTATAATGATCTTGCTACTGGCCAATATGACATCATCCTCTGTTGGTTACCCAGCCATGTTGGCATTTCTGGGAACACAATGGCCGATCTTGCTGCCAAGGCAGCACTCAACAAATCTGTAACTCCACTTCTTATTCCATACTCTGATTATAAAGCTGTCATCAGATCTTATATCCGTGATCTGATGCAGAAGAAGTGGGACACCCAAGTAGGTATCAATAAATTACATGAAATAAAGCCCTACATTGGTTACACCTACTTGGGTTGTCAGTCCAGATTTGAAGAAGTCATCATGCGACAATGTCGTATTGGCCACACTAGATATACTCACGGATATTTACTTAAAGGTGAGGATCCTCCGTTTTGCATCCCTGGTGATGAAAGAATCACGATCAAGCATGTCCTGCTTGACTGTGTTGAATATTCCATCACAAGGGATATCTATTTCAAATCACGAACTATGAAGGATCTTTTTTTTACTAATATAAGTCCTCATTTAATTATTGCATTTTAAAAAGAATTTGATTTGTTAACAGATTTGTAAATAGATAAATATTTTATGATGGGAAGTTTAAACTCAGATTGTTAGTGGTTGTACCCTCAAGGGGGGTGAAAGTATTGTAAAGTTATTGTCCTCCTGAGAGGGTATGTAAGTCCCAAAACTCTCAAAGTAAATTTCAAACGTACCAGGATTTTAAGCGTAGATTTTTGTGATTTTAATTATGGCTGAATGTGACTACAATCGCTGGCTGCTGAAGGGATGATGTAAATCCAACTAGGGTCCATGTAGGTAGCAAAGATACTGTAAGTCCCCATGGTCCTTAGTGTGGTGATCAGCCTTCAGTTGCTGGTGATCTATAGCCCGTTTTTATATTGTACTGTTGTCTCTCGTGATATATTTTTATGATAGCGTACTAGTTTTAAATTAAGAGCTGTGATATTCTAGTAGTTTTACTGTCCTTCAATGACAGGTTTTTACGTTATACATTTATTGATTTGAATATTGATATAAACTGTTCTCGTCATGATATGGCTGCAATAGTGCCGATGTGACGTTAAGTTTTAACTCACTCACTCATTGTGACATACATTTACAAATAAGTCTTTACCTTGGACACTTTGGTTATATGTATTTTATAATCAACCATGATATTTATTTAGTAGAAATTAATCACCAGAGCACACTCAGTGTAGGGAACTCTTCCTACAGCAGCGGGGGCATCCGTGTCCCTGGACACATTTTTGTCTTGTTATTCTTGAGTACTGTTATAGCCCTGAAACGTTGTACTCAAGAATAACAAGAAGATGTAACCCAGAAAAATCTCTATTTTCAGAAATATTATTGTCATCTTTTAAGAAGTCATTTATAAGTTTTACATTGGATTGTAGGTAGTGGTCATATACTACTGGTTTTCTCCCAATTGTTATGTTATCATTTGCCCATGTGTACTGTCTGCTGAGATGGTCATTTTCATATTTACTTTGTCCTTGTAAATCAAACCAGGCTTCACATACATCTTTCCAGAATGGGCTGATGAGTTTTGGAATGTAATGTGTCTTCAGATACAATGGTCCCATTTCTATGGTTTTTAGTTTGCACACTGGTTGTGAAGTATTTGAAAGATTATTTAATTTTGAGTCATGTACGAATAATCTTCTGATCTATGATATTTTCTGGGACTTGATTGTTTCAAATTTAGCTGGTACTTTTAGACCTCCTTCTTGGTATGTTTTTGTTATCAGACATCGTTTTATTCTATCAGGTTTACCTTTCCAAATAAAGGAGAAACATTTTCTTTGAAGAATCCGCAAGCTTTAAATCTCTTCCTTGTCAACTCTCGCATGGCAGGAAAACCTGTGTGTGCTCGTAACAACTCTTCCGTATTGTGATCAACACCAGGCAATAAACAATATTGTATTATCCCTTCAGTATTGTTATCAACACCAGGCAATAAACAATATTGTACAATCCCTTTAACACCAGGCAATAAACAATATTGTACAATCCCTTCAGTATTGTTATCAACACCAGGCAATAAACAATATTGTACAATCCCTTCAACACCAGGCAATAAACAATATTGTACAATCCCTTCAAAACCAGGCAATAAACAATATTGTACAATCCCTTCAGTATTGTTATCAACACCAGGCAATAAACAATATTGTACAATCCCTTCAGTATTGTTATCAACACCAGGCAATAAACAATATTGTACAATCCCTTCAACACCAGGCAATAAACAATATTGTACAATCCCTTCAACACCAGGCAATAAACAATATTGTACAATCCCTTCAGTATTGTTATCAACACCAGGCAATAAACAATATTGTATAATCCCTTCAGTA